ACTGTTTACAGATTATATCATATAAACCTGCAGAATAATCTGTAAATGAAGAGATGCTTAGTATGTGTAGACTATATAGACTAAATAAGGATTTGTGGCAGAGGCTTTATGTGGATGGAGAGCCTCGTGTTGAAAAGATCTTGACAAAGTCAAAATGGAGGCATCAGAGTGCGTGTGTGTGTGTGTGTTGTCCTATTATCTATTCTGATAGTTTACAAAGTGATACGGCCCACAGTAGGATGTTAAATTCATACTTGACATTTGTTCTGATGGAAGAACATCTGAAAGGAACTTGGGATTATTCTCTGTGCTTTGTCCTGATGCAGTGGGTAGAGATGAAAAAAAAATTATCCTTCAAAGCCAATTATGCATGCCAGATAAAGTGGCCTTTTAAATAGCATGATTCTTAAACAGTCTCGGTTCTTGTTGTTTGATGAGCTGGGATAAGAAAAGGCAGAGTACTTGCCTAAAGGTACAAATAACTTTTCTGGGAAAAATTTTTCAGCCATATTTATAGAGACCATTGAAGGAGAAAAATAGTTTTGTGGGACTCACACCCTTGCATGTGTTGATGCATTACGTGTTTTATTCGTGATATATTTAAATTGCAATAGAAAGAACGCAGGACATTTTATGTAAGGTTTCAATGCTAGATTTTTTTTTTTTTATAAGTCTTACAGTTTTTGTTGTGTGGATGTTTTGTCTACTTTGTTAAGTTAATCCTAGATTTTTAATTCTTTTTGATATGATTGTAAATGGGATTTTTACAAATTTTTTTGAGTTTATTGTTTGCATGTAGATATACAACAGATTTTTATATAGCCTGCCACTTCACTGTACTGATTTATTCTAGATTTTTTAGTGCAGTGTTATGGTTTTCTCTGTATTTTGTTATGTCATCTGCAAATAGTGATAATTTTATTTTTTTCTTTCCCAATTTGGATTTCTTTTATATATTTTTACAGCCTAATTGCTCTATTCAGTACTTCTGTACTATGTTGAATAGTAGAGATGAGAGTGGACATCCTGTCCTTTACCTGATATTAGAGAAACAACTTTCAGTTTCTCATCATTCAATGCTAGATTTTGTTTTATCAAATGGTGTTGAAACAGCAAACTTGTGTTTTTTTAGCTAGGTCGAGTTATTTACCCCTGTTTTATGAAAGAGCTTAGTCACGACTGGATTCACAAAGTGATCTAGTATTAGAAAAGTCTGCTTTCATTCATTCAGAGATAGAGAATTGTGAAGTTCTTATATTTTTTTGTGTGACCTTAGGAAAAAGAATAGTTTTATATAATTTGGGAATGACTACTTCTGTTTTTTTTACCTAATATTTTTTCCCTATCAATCATGAGTAGATTGTTCATATTCAAACCCTGAGAATATTGTGTAAGTCTATTCAAACAGGAGAAGAGCATGAAATTTGGCTTATGCATTTGTTAGAATAGTTCTTATATCTCCACGATAGAATTCTTTTTTTTTTTGAATTAAGAAATTGAATGTTTTGATAGATTGATGTTTTAGTCCATATACTTTCTTTTGGCCAAATCTAACATTAGTACAGAGCAGTATTTTTAATTGATTGTTTTTATCAATCCATTTCATGGCACAGCTCTTCTCTTTAATGAAACCTACACTTTGAATTTGCTAAATTTACATAATGATACCAAAGTGAGTACATTAATTCATGAATGGCCTTACAACAGGTTAATTTTAATCAGGCATTTGGAAAACAACACTAACATTAAAAATTAACCGCCATTAATTGAAGTAGTTGTCAGAAGTTGAAAATTAGTTTAAATGGACAAAATTTGGGTGTCCTCAAAGCCAGTGTGAGGCATTTTTAGACTGTGGGCACAAGTTAAATATCCTGAGCTGTGGGTGTGATGTCAGGCTTGAACTGGACAGCTGAATACTGGCCTTAAGCCCTTGTGCTGTGTGTTCATTACTAGCCCTGTCGCCTGAGCCCGGGTGTCTCACCTCTGTCTGGCCTTTTGTGTGAAATGAGGAAAAAGAAATTTTTCTTGCTGATTTTTGACAGATTAAAGTGATGTGTATTGCAAAATGTTTATAAAGGCCAAGTGAATAGGACTGAATATACGTTCTTTGGTGTTCCTTTGTAAGAGAAGGGGCAGACTGAAGGGGCAGTCCCACTGAGATGTGGGTCTTGAAGTGTGTATGTGTGTTAGCTGCACATGTGTAAACTCTGGGGAACAAGGGCTGTATTTGTTAGTGCTTTGGAGGACAGTCAGGAGTTCTGGCTTCTATTTGCGCTGTTACTTCTTTATCAATATTGGTCTTCAGAAGAGTGTTCTGAGAGCAAATTAGTGACTATAAAGTACTTTATAAACTAGAGAGCACCTTATTCATAAGACTTACAGAGAGCAGGCAGAGGAAGAAGAGAGGTACCCGCTATTTTCTTGCCTTGCCTATCCTTTGTTTTACTAAATTTCTTGGCTGAAATATATGGCAAACTCCAACTGGGTGACTGAAGAGAGTTCTATAAAGGGACCCTTTGGGGTATAGGTAAGGCCAGTAAGGGCCAGCGCAGTATCCCGGGGCTACTAACTAGGGTGGAGGAGCACCAGACATCATCAGACACCAGAAAGAGTGGCTGTATGGAGAGGCCCGTGGTGCAGGAGCTATGGCTTTTTGAACAGGACATTGTTGGAGGGAGGGAGCTGGCAGGGAATAAATGCCCCTTTCTCATTCTCCTGCTCATTGGTCTTTTCCTGAAAAAGACCTAGTAATGGAGAGGTGTTGATATGAAATCCTTGCTGGTCAGCTTCCTGGAGTACCAAGCAAAATAAAGAAATGAAGAGAAAGGATCCTTGGGTATGGCTACAGAAACAGGAAAATTTCCTATTTTAGACTTGATTTTTGGATTCTCTCTCTCTTGTTAAAGCTTCTCATTTCTCCTTAGTCATTCATCATACTATAATGTGCCTCTGTTTGAGGTCTTCCTAAGATGCCCATGGCTTAGTGACTGGATCCAGAGAAGAACCAGATATCAACTGCTCTAGCTTAATGTGACTTACATGAGCCTCAAGCCAATGTAGTGTGTGTTTTGTTACTTTTTCTTTTAATTTTTTTTTGGGGGGTGGGGAGCTAAATGTGCCAAAGCTTCTCTGCTAGCAAAGAGAAGGGAGTCTTATTGCCTGATTCTTTCACCTTCTATACCATTAAACTCACACATGATGATTTCTTCTTGTTTTTATTGTGAAAAAAGCACAGAGATTCTGATTTGATGATTATATCTATAGTTGGATCCTTAAGAGCAAGCTGTTGGCTCTGGGGTAGATAACAAAGAAGTCTGGAATTTTCCCCTGTGTACTTCAAGTTGCTTGGGAGAGTAAAGATAGTACTGTCTTTCTATAAATTGTTAATTGATAAACAATTTTGTAGCTTTATTTCTGTAAGAGATGATACCTTTTGGGTACTTTTTGTGTTTTTCCAATATGGTTGAGATTTTATAATATTCATTCTAAACTGGATTAACCTTGTTAAAATGGGTCAGTAATATTTACATTGCAGTGGTAATTTTATATTTCAAGGCACTCTGGATAATTTTATTAAAAATCAAATAAAAATGATCTAGGCATAGGCAACTGCAGTCCTGTAGGGCTAGAAATTGTCACATTGTAACTGAGTGTTCTGTGTTTGCCAGGACATCTGCAGTCACTTAAGAGTGCTTCTATGAAATCTGTAATACTTATTTGAATTTTTTGGTGGTTGTTTATAAAGATAGTAATGAAATCCAACCACCGGAAAAATAAAATGAAATTAGTGCAGATGTTGTATTTCTAGTTCCTAATTCTTTTCTGCCTTAAAAAAAAAAATGCCTTGGCAATAGAAAATGGCAGTAAGGACAATGGTGATAAAGTCTTCTGTGTTATTATTACATTCCTTCCTATTTATTGTCAAAATAAACGCTTTTGGGTTTTTCCTTACGTTGCTAGGGAGAGACAGAAATTTACTATTTTTAAAATCTCAAGGAAAATTGAAAGAACTATTCAGAACTGAAGTGACATAGGGAAAAGCACTTCCATTTAGAAATATGGAGTTCTTAGATTTGTAGTTTTAGATTTGTGTTAGAAGAAATGTTGTCATTCAGTGGACTGTCTTATCTTTCCTTCTTTCTGTGGGTACTTGTGACTGTTAGGGATTACTTTCAGGTTTATGTAACAGAAAAGGAATAGTGAAGAAAGGAAAAGTGAGACATCAAAAAATTGTATAGTCACAGTAAGTTCCTCTATCACTTTATTTGTCAAGAATGGGCAGATGGAAGGGGAGTCTTTGTGGTTTTTCTGCATTCTGTAGTTCCTTAGACTAATTCAGCCAGCCCAACTCCCTTGATGTAAAAAAAGTGGATTCTTGCTAGCCAAGAAAATCCTGATTCTTACCTGCGTACTATTTATCCCTTATACCTCATTTTAAAATAATAGAACATTGTTTAGAAAATTTTAGTCATTTTTCTCTTATCTTCTGAATGGCATTTGTGTAGTATAATTTCCACATCTAAATCTTGACCAAACAACCCTGCCTCCTAGAAGTGTTTCATTTATTCTCCAGCAAAGAGCTCTATCAGGTGTTTACTCTGTTAAGAGATACTGTTTTCATTGTGTTTCTTATAAGATACATGGTTATTAATCACTATCAAAATTTCATGTTGAGTGACTTCAAGGATGTGACCATGTTTTTAAGTTCTGTGACTGAAATGTACTTCCATTGCTCTGCTTTTGCTGGGTGTTCACTATGGTTGGTGTTTCCATCTCTGCCCTCCTGGGATGTTCCTCAGCTGTCTCCTTGGGACTGTCAAATCCATGCCACCATTTGTAGCTTAATTGTCTGTGAGACTATAAGAAGGTGTCATCGTCTGATGATGTTCCTCAGCTGTCTCCTTGGGACTGTCAAATCCATGCCACCATTTGTAGCTTAATTGTCTGTGAGACTATAAGAAGGTGTCATCGTCTGATATATTTCTGTTTTCCATCTTCAGGGACGGGAGAGAGTGGCAAGAGTACATTTATCAAACAGATGAGAATCATTCATGGGTCGGGATACTCTGATGAAGACAAAAGAGGCTTCACCAAGTTGGTCTATCAGAACATCTTCACAGCCATGCAGGCTATGATCAGAGCCATGGACACACTCAAGATCCCCTACAAGTATGAGCACAATAAGGTAAGTGTGGCTCCTTATGGGAACCTCTGGCAAAGCACCCCCAGTACAGATGTCTTCCTGTGTGTGGCATGCACAGTGGGCCTTTGAAATGTACATTTTTCATCTCATCCTAAGTGGAATTTTTAATGGTTGTATAAGTTATTTATGGATTTTTTTTCCTTAAATATTTAAAGTCACATCTATTAAAAAAATTGGGGCTGTGTTCTTAGTGATACCAGTGGAAGACATTTGTATTGAATATGTTTGCCAGTAAATATACAAATTTATAAAATTTAGGTGTACTGATTACATTAGGAAGAGAGTTTGTAAGTTTAAGATAAATTGACCAAAGTGAGGGAATTCTGAGAAATGGCAGTGGCCTTGATCAACCTCCCAGTCTCTGTGCTTCCTTGTAAAAAGAACGAAAACAGCTCCAGACCATTCTGTCCAGTTTAATTTTGGATTTCGTGACTTCCTTTTAGTAGTATCATAGGCTTAATTTTATTTCAAAATAGGCCCATCTGTCATTTCCAATAACCTTTCAAACATGTTTCCCTGCAATTGTGCTAAAGTAATAGAAACTTCTAAAATCACTTGAGAAGGATTAGGAAAAAAATCTCTTTCCAGTTTTTTAAAAAACAAGCAAAGTTACCAAAAATCAATAGTATTATCTCTTAGTTGAAATAGAAAACCAGGGGTGAAAACAAATGCTGTAATTATTCATCTTCCAAACATTATATCATTAGATGCATGTTATCAAATAAGGTTGGTACATCAGAGGCGGCTGCACTCTTGAGTTTGTGCTGCATTTGTCCTGAAGGAACCTCATGGGCAAGGACTGGATTGCACCAGAGAATGATGTAGTGACGTTTTTGCTGAAGAGCCCATCTGAGAGAAGGGGAATTATTTGGAATTTGGTACAAATTTATATTTTGCTTTTTTCCCTTCTTATTCATTAGTACGCACAACCACTGATGAATGCAGTGGTTTTTGTCCATAGATGCTGATGTTAGAGTAACTGGTAAAACGATACCTTTTGTTAACAGAACACTACATTTGCACCTGCAATTATTTTAGAACCTTCAATCAGAACTTTTGTTCTCTCAGTGCTCTTGCTAATCTGCTCAGGGATATTTCTATACCAGGATCAATAGGTAATAACAAGAAACGGGTATGTTCAGTGTGACTCATAAGCTGAGATTTAACTCACAAAAATTAATCTTAGCTAAAATAAAGCACTATATACCTTCACTTCTGTTACCATCTAGAAGCTTCTAAATATAATAACTCTTAAAACCAGATACTTTTTTTTCTTTGAAATTAACTGGCTGTTTCTTATCTAATTGGTGCTCTCACACTTAGTTTTTCTGTAGCAGCAAGAGAATCTCTCTGCAAGAAGAGAATGTCCACAAATAATCCTACTCTAAACTGTGGAAAAAAGGAAAAAAAAAATCTCAGCAGGTTTTTGAGCCTGGACTACCTTACCTGAATCAGATGAGGTTGTTTAGATGTCAGAGCAGTCTGAATTTATAAGGATCACAGTTTTCCCCCTAGCCCCCCCTCCCTTAAGAAATTTCAGTGTAATTAGTTTCTGAAGTAAGTGGCATGTTTGTTTTGTTGCAGTTGGGAGACTAATGATGTTGAGGGAATTTTTTTTTTTTTTTTTTTTTGGTACCAGTGACTTTTCCATTCTGCAGTTGATTGATAATACGATGATTTGGTGAATTCTGGCTGAGTTATCGTCGGTGTGGTGTGATTGAAGAATGTGTGTGTGTAGGCAAAATATACACCTAATATTCCCAGATTACAAATTATAGCACAACATAATATTCCTAAATCGTAGCTTTTAAAAAATCATTTTTCTTTGATGCTCCTGAAGAATCCTTCAGGATCTTGCCTTGAGGTTAGATTTTCACAGTAAGAATTTGTATCATACAGTCATGTGGACAGAGAAGGTCAAAAGGAATTTTTGCCTTATTCATATAACACATTGAAGTATATTTAACAGTGTGTGTACTGAAGTTTTGCATCAAGACTTCTTAAGCAGACTTTGTCATAACAATACCTTTCAGTTAAAAACCAGCGTCATGAAAAGGTAATGTTTTTTCAGTATCATCATAATCTTGTAATCTCTCATCTTTTGGTTACTTAATGTACTACCTAATACAGTGACATTAGTGTGTCTGCCCTCTTAATTCCCCTCTAATTCATAATGTAAACAATTCCCCCCTATGAAAATTCTATTTCTTCCCTATATACCTAAAGTATCACCCCTTCATTAAAGTCATGAGCTTGACCCACTCTTTGTCCTTGTTAATGCTTTTAAGGAAATAATGTCATCTTGTTCCTTTTTGACCCAACTTCTCTTTTGTCCTAGAGTTCTTCTCTATTCCCTACCATAGTATTTAAGTAATCCTACCCTCTCTTAGAAAAATCCATAGTAGAATATCTGTAATTGTCTAGCTTGTGTTAATTATGATGATTTGAGTATGCATTTTATTTTCCTGACAAGACTCTAAAATCCTTGAATATATATCATGTGTTAATTCCATCTTGGTAGTCCTCATTCTTCCTGGCACCTAATTTTGTTCTTAGTAGGTACCTAAAAAAAATACTTGATTTATGAATATGTAAAATCATTTATAAGCTTAAACAACTGTAAGTCTCCTGTTCTCCAGGAGGAATTGTTCAGTTTTGCTTACTGTGAAATTGGCTCTAGCTAAGAGAATGCCACACCAGAGTATTTGAATTTCTTTTGCTCCTGCATCATACTACTATGTTGAATTGAGTGCCATCCCCGGCCACTGTCTTTGCCCCGATGTGGTTCAATATTGCATCTCTTTTTGTAGATCTTATTCAGTGATCACAGATTACATATATAGCTAGTAAAAAATTGAAAGCTTTTACCAGAATAAAGATTAACTCTTTTTCTGAATGTGTATCCGCTATCCTGTTCTTGGACTTTCTTTGCCAAACAAGTACTGTTTATAGGTGAGCTGCTTGGATGCAGCCTAAGAGAGAACACATGGAGGCTTCTGAATATACTGTGAGCTAGGCTTTGTTATTAAATATTACTCTGCCATTTCCTTAAGTGCAACTGTTGAGAGCTGACATTGAAAGAGGTTAAATATTTTTGCTAATCAATTAAAAAAATATACTTAAGGCTCCGCTTGGTCCAGGGCATTTGACTCAGATTATGCTATCATTCCTGCTTTCTTCGGGACAGAATTTTTATCGCTATTATTTCATGGTTTCATACTTATAAAGATGTTTTCTTTTGCTTATTCTTTACCTTTCACTGAAAGCAGCTCTTAATGAAAAGGTCTTGTTATAGGCAAAATACCTTGTGTTTCCTGAGAAATCTAGTATCATAGAAGCCATTTTCAAAAGAAAAATGTAGCTATGATTTCTGGCTCCAATTTATTCCCACCTTTGATCAGTTGAACAAGAAATTACTGTGCTATTTTTTTTTTAGTATGAGGGAATTCTCTGTCTATAAAATGCTGGGATCTATTTCGTTTTAATATTTTTCATTAATATTTCTCTTTAATATGTGTATAGTAGGCATATAACACAGGCAGAACTTAATCAGTATGTTTTTCTGTTATTCTGAAGGGTTTTGTCAAAGTGCTCTACTTGCATTAAAAGCTAACATTGGTTAACTTAAGTGGAAAAAAGAATTTATGGAAATGTGAGGTCAGTTTGAGAATTGAGGAGAAGCTGCAGACTAGCTCTTACAAAGCAGGGCAGGTTTAGAAGGATGAACTGTGAGAAGGATGAGAAGGATGAACTCTGGCAGCTTTCAACCTTCTGCTACTCTACACATGATCAGATTCCTGGAAAAACTCTCCTGATTCGTCTAGCCAGAAACTGTGTTAAGTCTTTGGACAGGTTAATTTGATTGCTGGGCAATGTGATTGACAGTCCCTGAGGGAAATGTGCATACAGTTAATAGAAGAGGGAACATGATGTTGGCACAAATCACAGTTGTCCACTGCAAAACCACACCATCAATTTAGAAGATAAAGTGACACATGGGTTCTCTATAGAAGTGATGCCTCCAGTTTTGCTTAGCTAAGTCTGTCCTAAAATATAATTTCTTATCTTCTATTCAGCTAGGGTGGGGCCTAGTGGAGGCAGAGGGGTTAGTGACAGGTAGCAGTTATGTAGGAAGGTATATGTCTTGAGTTTGACCCCAAGTACCATTTTGCTGAGTAACCTTGAAACTGTCATATTTCCTCCCTGAGCCTAAATTTCTTTGCTTTCTAAGACTGAATTTATAAGTGGGACAAATAATAATAGGATTGTTTCAAGAGTTAAATAGATAATGTATGTGAATATATCTTGCAAATGATTAAAAAGCATTTGGAGATTATTATAAGATGAATTGTCATGGAGAGAATGACTACTGATTTTTTAACTTTTATTAAGAATAAAACAAGTGGCCTCCCTGTTGGCACAATGGGTTAAACACTGCGCTGTGAAGCTGTCTGCTGCGTCTGCTTGTGGGTTCGATTCCCAGCTGGCCAGGGAGAAACCTACATGGCAAGCAACCTCTCCTGTCTGCCTGTTCTACTCTCTGCTCTGTTTCTGGTGAATTCTCTCACCCTCCTGCGCCTCTGACAGTACCCCAGTTCTTGTATAAATAAATAAAAAAAAAATCTTAAAAAAATTAAAAAAAGAATAAAAAGTAACTTAAACAGCAAGATAAGATTTAGGAGGTGTCCGAAGAAAACTTTCCTCAGAATGACAGTTATTGAAATGGGATCCCAAAAGATGTAGAAAAATCACCTTATCTAGATGTGTTCAAAAACAGAATGTATTTTTAACATTACACAATTTTGCTGAAATAAGACTAGGGAGATACGAGACAACCCCTGAAATCCTTTCCAACATTATTTTTTCTCATGCTGATTCTCTGATTCAAAATTCTAACAGAGATGAAGCTGTTGTTATTTTGTTAGAATTCAAGGCTTTGTAGCTTTTTAAAACTTTATCCATTCTAGATCATTTATGAAGAT